GGTAAGTTTCGCGATATAGAGTTTTATGTTATCTTGTAAGGATAGGCCTCCCTTCACACAGTCGGACCAATCACGGCTGTTTCGCAAGAAGAAGTTTTCATACACACCTCCGAGTTGCATATTTCTCAGAAAAAACTCACAATGAACAACCTTGTTTATAGCTCATCGCATACAAAGTAGGCGTAGCCTACTACAGATGAATTGATGTTTTGAAGGCGTTAGACAGTGGATCTGTTGGAGGCAACCAATGATTTGTTCGTTTGCTTAACATTTCGGTAAAAATGATAGGCTTCATCCCAATTCATGCAGTAAACATTCTAAAAACGGCGCATTTCTATGAAGTATGTGACCGAAATAATGAAAAGTTGGTAGCTTTTTAGAGTTATTGCCGTTTGCTGACCCATAAGACATCTACGCGTGCAAACGAATTGTTTAATCACGCACGTCAAACCGCAGCAAAAGCTCAGCGGAGAAAAAAGCCTTCATTATCAGGAATATTTTAGTGAGTCATCATCAGCTTGATGCATTTTTGACTAGTAATTCAGTAATTTCAGGCCTAAACGTCCTACTACCACATATCGTTCCTTCTTCAAGTTTTACTAGAGACTTATGCTTCATTGAGCAGACAAACTCGAGTTACATCAGATTCAACCGACATTTAATTACACAAGGTTCCAAAATAGTAGGAGGCATACCTATGCCCTGTGACGCAAATGGGCAATCGCAAATTATAGGTCCCTACAGGTTACAACAAATATCATGTACCGAAATATGATGCAAAGGGCGCAAATCATTACAAACGCAACAATTAAATATCTTCCACTAGAAATTATTCAAGGAAATACCCTAGTCATTGTTCGGCAACAGGAGTGGAATTAATTTGTGATCCAAGTAAAAAAATGGAAGTCTTGTCAGCAAGAAGGACGTTGCGAATAAGGGGAGGTACTTAGGGTTTAAAAATAAAAATTTGAAGAACTTAATCAAATTGCAAAGGACCACCGCAAAAAATTCCAAGAAAGAGTAATCAAACGCTTTTAAAAAGAGAGTCGCCCCAAAGAAATGCAGTTGTTTATGGGTAAAAGTGGTTGTTATACGTGGCAAAAACGTGGGAACTGTGCCGGATGTAGAGGAATGAGTTCATTAGCCCATTTTTGGCAAATGAAAAGTGAAAACGGGTATATTCGTTTAAAAAGTAAATCCGTCAATGCAGCCTAACGGTGCACGGGGACAAAACACCAGACAGGAAAGAAATGTAGCAAGACGGACAACAATTTTTGCTCTGAATGAAATTGTAAAGCACGATACTGTGCGAAATAAGCATGAGGCAAGAGATAGCAATTTAGGGTTTAAAAGCCGTTGTAGTACGTTTAAATCGAGATAAATTTAGCGGAGAAAAGACTAGTGATTGAATTTAGAGAAAGGACTTTTTGGAACAGAACGCAGTTCAGCAATATAAAACCTTAGAGATCCAAAATGGAGGCAAAACAAGCCTCTGATATCAGTGAAGGGTTTTGAAAAAAGCAATTAGACTAACATGTAAGCTGTGCTGATAAATTTAATGAAGAATCTAAGACACACTAATAGCTTAGGCCCCTGATGATGACTTGCCATTAGCACGAAAAAAGGCCATTTAATTAAGCAATGATAAGACTTGAAGTCCAGATACCATCATTGGTCTATCTCAGGAACAAGAATGCCCACAGAAAATCACAGCATACTTTTAGCGTGCAGTGCGATTCAATTTAGCTCAATGCAAAACCAAATTGCATGTAACAGGCATGCAGAAGGTTTCATAGAAAGTATATCTTGGTCAAAATGACTGAGTCCTTATCCACCTCATTTTTCGAAATCAATCTGTACGTGGGACTAGGACAATTTCCAGGGTTAGAAGCAGTTTGAATTGAATCAAGGTATGGACGAAAATCACAAATAAGAAGGAATGTAAGACTGTGTTTACATAAAACCGAAGTAAGCCATAGAAAAGTAATAGACCTTTGGTAATGCTTGACACGCACTTCAAAAAAGCAGTCATCGTATGAGATACAAGCCTAAACGTAGTGGACAAACTGGCGGCCATCATCAAAGTAATGCTCGAAAAGGGTGTTCATTTTAGTTTACACACGTCACTGTGACAAATTAACACACAAATTGCACGACTTCAAAAATGTCGTATTTTGGATCACTTGTAATGAGATCCCAAAACAATGAGCAGGAACAGAGTTCCCAATTTATACACCACTATTCGTAGGACTTTAGAAATTTACTTGACACTTCACCAAACCCTCATTAGGTCAAAAGATTAATAACGGTTGGTTAACATCGCCGTCATTTCTTCCAGGGGAATCCAATATTACCAGAAAGTGGACGCAAACTATGAGTAGAGGGAAGGGACTACATTGCAAAGTGGCGATCATGATTACAAACTACTGCGAAACAAATTAGCTGCAACCCAAAATTGTGGATTTTAAATGACAAGTCCAGTTCATTTACTTGCCGAAACCCCGAGGTATTACTTGAAGAGACACTGGTTCCATGGAGGTTTCGACGACAGGCGAGAATCGGTGTAATTTCAAGGAGAATCGTAGACCACGGCAGCAGAATGTTGATTCTCCCATTCCACTTTTTGGTGGTCTCGAGTAGTTCAGCGCACAGTTAACTTACAGTTATACATTGTAGCCACACTTAAGGTACTCGCTATCGGTGTCATACATACGACGCCTTCATTTTCTTATCTGAGCCCAGCGTCACAAATATGTGGGGTATTATTTAAAAACTCACAAAAAGCTACTGCGCCCACTGTGTCTTGGAGATGGTAGTTGATTTCCTAACAAGAAAATAAATGCAGGATGCTCTCAGTCAGAGAACAATCACATTCTTCTAGGTTTGAGCAGCAGCCGAATTGGCCGGTTTCTCAGTACAGTCGCAGTGTATTGTAGCCCACATGTGCGGATGGATGTTTCAAGGTCCATTGTAAAAATAGAAGCGTGCATTATACCGTTTCTCCAATCCGCCCCATTTCATTTCCTTTGAACTCAATGTCGCATACGTTTACCGTATGTTATAAATAAACTCTGCAGAAATTAAGGGCAGTGTCACGTTAGACCACCAAAGTATCCTAAATTTGGTGCTTGGCGTTCCCCTAAGACGCTGATCCTAGTCGAGAAGGCGGAGAAGGACCTTATTGCCTGCTACAAGATTGACTTTAAATGCAGCACATTGCATTTACCTTTCAACTAAGTGGATCCACACGAACTCCATTCTCTTTTTAACTATTGATGGATTAAAGGCACTGCATTAGTGAACGAAATATGTGGGTGGTATGTACCAAACGACAGTGGAAGTAAGGTATCGTCAAGGCACTCGCACACACTGACGTACTTTGCTGTAAAAGTACAATTCAACTCTTGATTAGAAGCAAATGTCATAACTAGGAGGAATGCCTGACATTTTTACGTGCACAAGGTGTTCCTGCTAAAACGCCATCTGCACGAAGTACAGCGGATACATACTTTGAAAGGAGTTAAAAATCTCCATAGTAGATGTTTGTATTCTTTAAGACATAAGCAGAACTGCGCAAGACAACGCACTTTGGGAGGCCTTGGCTCACCATAACTATAACTTCTTCCATGTGACCAGACTGTTTACTCAAAGCTTTCCACGAAGTTAGAGGTTGTGTTTGGTTGTGTCAGTTTTTGCGAAGTGCATGGGCCCATGACGAGTGAGAGGACAAGGCAAGACTTCTACAGAGGTCGCATTCAGCTTGTCACTTCATTGAGAGGGTACTGTCAATTGACACCTGCAATTGCGTATGTGTTAAGCGAAATCAGAAAAACTCAAATATCCTGCTTCATCTACCTGAAGAGACTTCATCAATGAAGAGGTGAGAATAAGGCGGTACGGCAACAACAAACTCACGGCAGTACGCTGGCAATCACATCAAATTACAGATGAAATGATGGTGAAACGATATGTATTGGGATGGCTATCTAGCCAAGCGGGGTCTTCAATCGCCACAGATTGCACCACCATCTTGGTGGCGCAGACTCTCGACCCCACCTTTCATTTCCGGGCCCCTTTTGCACTCCAAATCTGCTAATAATCCGTTCTTTTACACGGGTAGGCCTTATCACGTCCTCTGGGGCCACAATACCAACTGTTTTGAAGAATTTAATGAATGGAATCAGGACGTTATGACCAAAGAAAGGGGAAAATAAATTTTGCGAATCTTGAAGAAACTAAATTCCCTTTTGTTAAATGGGAAAGAATATTCCAAGAACTTAAAGGGATAGCATTAACAAGCATCCATCATTCCATACAAATTTTGGAGTAAAGAAGAGAAACGTGGTTCTTATCTAGAAGAAATAGCCCGGATAGAGATGATAGATCATCTAAAACTTGGCAGATGTTTCTCCAATTGGAAATACTTTTTTTCAGAAAATTGATCGTAGTAGAAATATACTTTCTTCCAACTAAATTTTGCTTGTCCTCCTATGGAGATGTGGAAAAACAAGCAATTTGAAAGGTCCATCATGCGGGTGGCCATAAAATACGAAGTGCCGTAAACAGTGAACGACTATTTAACTTAGAGAAAATATGAAAGAGCAGGAATAAAACATGTAGAGGTCGATGTTTTACGGAGAGAGAACGCAATAACCCACACGCTCAAATAATGCCTTAAATCTTCATCCCTTTCAATCTGATAATATCACAAATCACAGTAAAGCCTAAAAGGTTGACTTAGCACTGCTTTAATAAATGTGGACAATAAATATGAGTCTATCAAAATCTAACACTAGAAAACGTTTTGATAAAAAGAAAATTACAAAACGATTCCATTGCTAATCACCGCGTGCTGTGTATACTTCAATTTCAGTGGCCTGAGCGTAAATAGGGAAAATAAAACCATTTCCACTCTGCAATAAATCAACTTTTATTAAAGCATTTTCCAAGTTCCGCATTTCGTAGAAGCGTGTAATTTAAATATCGCAAATTAAACTCACTTCAAACCTGCAGACTGAAAATGAACACGTGCTGCAGCGGCTTGACTGGAAACTTCACGGTAAAAGTCTATTGGAGATTCACCTATTGAAGGAAATAAAATGATTACTGACGGAATGACCTTCAGGTCACACCTCCAGCTGATCTAAATTATGTCTACCTTTTGGGATCGTGATAGGATTCCAAGACATAAGTCAATTCGTGTACTAATTCACAGACCAAAATTTCCATGCGGGTGTCGTCATTCTGCGTCTTCAAGACAGAATTAGGAGCACGGGAAGAAAGCGCAAGGAATTGGTATAGCATCGATACTTATTTACTAACCCAAATAAGTAGAATATATTTTTCATCTCACCGGCTAAGTTCATTCTGGAAAACAGCATTTGAGAGTCCCTTTGCTTCAACACGACTTCTTCAGGCAATCGGATCCAGGACACACTGTGCCGAGGTAGGAGACGACAGAGCACTTCGACAATGCCTTAAAGGTAATGCAATAATTCCCTAATTTTTGCTCCGATTACAATGAGATGACAACTGACAACCAGCAGACCTGGCAAAACATGACAGTGCTGATGTCCATCAACTCGTAGAGGCGATACACCAAACAATTTTTCGAACTTTATTATTTGCCGCTCAATTTCGATTTCAACGTGCCATAAGTGTACCGTCTGCAAGTTCCTCCGCAAATTCGCCTTTCCATAAAATAGACCCGTCCCGTCTTCTAGAAGAGAGCTTATAGATCCTTTGGTACTTAATGGCTCCCCCTCTGAAAGGTTGATATGCAAGCCTGAGAGAGAAAAATTGATAAGCTTCAAAAAAATGCCCAAAATGAAGAAACCTTTTATTCGATTGGAACTCAACCAAAGTAAATCACTAGACGATATTCATACTAAAGCATCGATTCAACTATAAATTAATCAAGGAATGAATCGAAAGAAAATACTGTTAGTGGTGCTCATTATTCGTCATAATTTTAAGCACAAATGAAAGTATCACTTACCAAACCTTATTTAGACAGATTAGAACTAGAAAGATCCTAAGACCACTCTTAAATATTATTTTTCAAGAAGTGAACAAACACTGCTTTCGCAACCTAAGTTGAACCACACTCCATTTCACTTCTGAGTGAAATAAGTGCTTCAAAATTTAGAAAGAAAAAAAACTGAACCAGGAAGGGCGGCTTCCTGCATGCAGTAGTTGAGGAGTACAGAGGTAGCGGGCGTGGTGGAAGAGCGCACAACACCGCCATTCATCAATACGGAGACGTCGGTGACAGCTCCATGCTTCCAGCATTCGACCAGGGCCACATCTCTCCGGTCAGCATAAAAACCGTCGTCAGCAACAATGGCCAATTGGGATGTCTGCAAAGAGCGAGACACGAAACTGAGTCTCTGTGCTTATGACGACAAACGTCAAGTTATTCAACATTTAAATGCAATCATTCACAAGCAGTACCACAGAAGTGAAAGAATGAAAATTCGATTGTAAAATAGCGCAAATAAACAGAATATTCACAGCATAGGTAAATCTCTATAACTAGTCCGTGGAGTCAGGTAATCATCTAGAAATCAATCCTGTAGGGGAAGCAGGAAGCAACACACTCAAAAAACGCAGTAAGAGAAACTGGAAAGAAAAGCGCCAACTTGATTAGCGTTGGACCTAACGAGTGTTTCCATAGCATGTGTAAAATACTCAAGTACCAAAACACACCTTATGTGAACGAAATTTTGTGATGATGGATTAATGCATTGAAATTACTGCAGAGAACTTATTGGCTGTTTTCTTATAATAAGGATCTAGAAGCTACGTGAAGACTTTATTGTCACAGAGAGATGATAGCTGATTCCTCTGCTTCGGTTGATGTAACAGCACACAAATCTAACTACTCCATGCAAGGTCGAACGATAATTGGTTCAGTAAGCGTTTGATTTGCTACCAAACGATACCCAAAAAATGGGAATTCTAAGGTTAGGCTAAGAAACCCTTGTCATCTGTTAATTAGTATAGGTTTATGCAACACAAATAAGGAACAAAATTAGTGCATTTTCGACTCTTAACTGCGCTTTTGTCATATGATTACCATGCAAGCATGGAGGTTAATTTCCTTTAACAAAATTTAAAGCCATTTTTACATAATGGCATGATGAATTATAACCCAGATATGCGCATTTGCCAATCCCGATTATTTTATGGTGATTTAGATCTGGAATCTTCATGCTCATGGTGTTGATTATCGGGCGAGAATACTAGTGGGTTAGTTGTGTGTTTAATTCGCTGTTTTGGTAACAAGTCGCTTAGGGACTCCGCCATTATACCTGCGGCGAGTGGTCTGGCCTCAGGATACATCAGTAGTCCCAAACCCTTAGTACGCTGACAACACATTTTCCCAGCTGGTATTATGTCTTCTTTCGTCTTCAGGAGAGTTTTGAAGTGCTAGAAATAAATTGCTGTCTTAGATAAGTTCTCACTGTGAGTTCCCTCCCGCATAGCATGTCATATCGCCAACAAGTGCTGCAAGAATCTAACACTTAAACACCAATCGGTCTAATGTTTTTACGAGGCGAAAGTAGCGCCCCGAGCAGAATATATGTCTAGCATACAGAAGGAGTTGAGACTACTTGCGTGACTCAAAGGCCTACCTACATGACGAAGGTACAATAGCCGAGACACAAAGTGGCCCTTTACCCAAACCGAGAGTTAAACAACCGATGCATTGCACACAATTTGCTTGCATGTGCTTGCACAATGATACAATGTGATTACGCCTTTTTAATTTTGTTGTATAGATGCACTGACCTGGGTTTTCCCTGAAGTCGTATCGTTAAATCACGCTACTAGCGTGGACCAACAGCCATGCCACAGAGCAAAAGTAAAACCGCCAGCTACTGCATTCAAAAATACACTTAAACAGAATCCTGGCTTGCTACAAGTATGTTTTTTGCACCCGGCTCTAGAAGGCTTTTTGAATTTCTACGCTTACTTGTAACGGCACTTCAGTCCACCGCTAACTCTACGGTTTACCTCAGAGACATATTTACCAAGAGGTTTTTCTGCTACCTCAGGATGTTTGAAAAACACAGTTACATTTAAAGCAGTGAAATGATTAAAGTCATGCAAGGAAAGCTGAGTTTTGTTGAACAAGTCAGTTAAGTTTTTCCTGCAAAAGTACTTCTCTACTAAGTTGACCTTGTTCGAGCACTGCGGATGGACGCATCCGCCGTAAGCATTTAATGGACGCTACCATTATGGTGACAGGTTTCATTTTTAAGACAAAATAAATTTCAAAATTATGTGATTATTGATTTTTCTGACAGTTTTTAACATCGGACTGCTTAGCACACTGGTGTGGTATTTTGAAATATATTTAAGCATTTATAACTTACCTTTGCAAGCAGATTGTGGGCGAATACTTCGTCACCTCCTCCTGATCTACGCTTTAATATGAATAGGAACAATAATGATTTGAGTACACTGTTTTCGCAGATTATCGGAGCCTCAGGGATTCTCACAAAAGCATTGCCAAGGCTTGGCGTGACGATGAAGTTAACAGACAAGAAACTAGAAAAAGAGGTAGGATGATGTACTGCTTTTAAGAGAGGATTGAAACTTTCCGACAGATCATTAAAAAATATAAAATTCTAAAATAACGATGTCTTCAGCATTACTATTCAATTCAAACTACGTCACTTAAAATTTACCGATTACAAGTTTATTTTCCACAATAAAGTTACACGTGAACCAAGTTTTGTAACCCGCTAGATGAGATTTATTAATTGTGAGTGTTTGTAATTTGAAAGGTAGCGCGGTGTGCCAACCACGACAATACTAAGCACTTACTCCAAGTGGAGAAATATGACTTGAAAGAAGACATAACTCTTTCAAGTGGAGCTGCAGGTATCGCCAAAATTAAGAATCCACTTTGTGATACTGATCCAATTGAAACTGTCAGGATTGAGGTGGATCTAGGCCTGCTTCTTGAGCAGTGCATCAAATCCACAGAAATCGCGCGAAATTGCATCAGTACAGCAGAAACTATGGAATCCTCAACCAAAGAACTAGGGACGTCTGGGGATTTACTTCATGTTGACGGTAAGTTCAAATCCTATTATTAGGATGAGTTGAAATTAAGTTATTACTCACTAGAACCACTCAAATAATCCCATAGAAGTGACCGTTCGCCCTAAAAAATTTTTCAGGTTCGCAAAATTAGCCATAAAAGTCAGTTAATAAAAAGTAGAAACTTAATTTTAGAGAGCCTCAATGAAGTGATTTTACGTGCGGACCAATTATTCAAAATTTATGCAGGCCTGATCGGCACCATTCAGGCGCTAAAAGCCAGCGAAACTGTGCTCGATAATGTCCCTCAAGAGGATGGACCGAAGGCTACTTCCACAAACGAGCGTTGTTTACCCTCACCAATATGCAATGATCACTCTCCATTATTTGCACCAGTTGTAACTGAAATCCATGAGGAGGGATTTCTTCAGTCCCTTTGTGGGTTTGCGGAACGGAAATGCATCTTTTGTGCCACTTACGTGTTTCGATCACAATGTCTGGCCAGTGTGCGCACCATTTACATCACCTTGCCCCACTCTCCACAGATCACATTTCCTACAAAGCTGAAATCAATGGTAGAACTTGATAGACTGTCAGCGGGAGATCCTTCAGAAACAGAACCGTCTCGCAGATGGTGGGAAGGAGCAAAGAACCCCTGGATTCTACCAAACAATGTGTCAAGACTTGTGCAGTCGAATCGCTCTATGGGAACTTTTAGATTGAGGAAAAGATTAGCGAATGCGTTAAGTAAATTAGTAACTCCTCGGCGTCGTGCGACCAGCGGGTCAGCAGGAGACTGTGAAGAATTGAAGCTTGACATTGGCTTCTCGCTGGATGCACTTGCGGGAAGCGAGTATATTCAATTTGTGGAGGCCGACCTTGATAGTTCCATGTATTGGTATGCAAATGCTGGAACAACTGTGGAATGCTTGCAGCAGAAATCTAAAAAATCTAGCTCCGGCTGCAGAGGAAGCAAAGTAAAGTTGTCTTTAAGACGCCATAAAGTGGAAAAATTTAAAAGGCACTGGAAAAATGACTTCCCCTCCAGACTCAATGATAATGACTCGCTTTTACAAAATAGCAATGAACCCGAATGCAAAGTAAACGTAGGATCCTCGATACCAAAAATGAGCAATAGTCCTAGGAAGGGAAAATCACTGCTAACTTTATGGAAGGCAAGAAGAAATAGCTATAAAAGGAGCCCTGAAAACTCGTTAATAGTGGGCTCTCCATCGGTGAAGCCGAGTGATAGTCCCCGTTGGAATCAGGGTATAAATGGACAAAAAAAACACGCACAACTGGTGGAATCGGACGTGCAAGCACAGAGCGGTTCTCACGGCAAGTTCTTTCAGAAGAAGGTCACATCAACAAACTCCATGCCAAGGGCTGAGGGCTCGTTTGGTCGAGAGGATGTCAAAAGAGAACGCAAAGGCTGCTTCATTTGTGGCTACCAAAGACAATTGGAGACCTCAAATAACATTCATCTCTTGAAAGCTGATGCGAGAAAGCCAAGTTTCTTGCGAAATACTGCCAACAATGCAAAATACCAAATTAGAATGCCTGAGAGAATGAAGCATGTGAGGCGAAAGTATGGTACACCGGATGATGCAAGTGAAAAAGCCAGCGTGGAACGATAACCAAGGACTCAAAGGCACGCCATGATTCAAATGTATCTCACTATCAAATGAGATAAACCAAAATCAGGTCGTCGTTATGGTAATTTACATTTCAGCTTCCTTGCAAGGCATCTGCACGAACGACCACAAATCCAATTCGTGTACCTAAACAACCACAGTTAAGTCCTATTTATACCACTTGCGTGTTTCACATAGCTGATGCTATCCAACCAATCCAAAAATAATAGAAGCCTAATTTCAAATCTTGTATCCTAAACACCTGTTTTAAAGATCTTAATGTTCCATCAGATCAAAAAATGTGTAACTATGCAGCAACTTTGATTAACAGAGCTGCTAAGTTATGGAAAACATCCCGCTTACAATAAGCAACATTCAATAGAATTGTAATAGCTCTGATGCTTCTCCCTCCTACCTGAGTGGGGAAAAATGGTTTGTAGACCACAGCATGTATTGATGGAACGTAGGATTATACAAGCGGTCTAAGTTTAATGGGGAATTGGGTGTCACCTCCACAAAGATCTAAGAGTTCTCTCAATCACAAGATTAGTCAAATTGGCCCACTTGCTACCTCAAGGACCTATTCAAAAAGCCGCATAGTGCATGGTCTCACCGTCGCTCTGCTCTCTTCATCTTCACACACCATTTTTGATAAATCATTTTCCTCTTTTAGCATGTAGGTTCCATCCTCATATTCAACAGATGGTGTGACTTTATGAGGAAGTATTTTATTATGATGTGCCATGAGTGATTGGGCTCTGATCCGTGCATTGCAGATTAAACAATTTGTTGAGTGTATTATCTTATCACTCAAAGCGCATCTTCGTTCCAACACTGATTAAATTTGCGGCATGCCTTGAGGAGCAGAAGGAGGCCTGTAGAGCTGCAATAGATTTCCCTTCTGATAGGCATCATGTTGGCTGCGCTTGCCTTTTGTCCGGCACACGATAAGCTTAGAGGTTTGGGAACGAGGTTGAGAATCGGTGTTATGCTTCAGTCGCAGCATGTACTCTGGAGCGTTGTGATTCGTTGCTTTAACGTTGGCAAAAAATTGTCAGCCAACACTGCCATTTTAATATATGAAATGGCGATGGATGTATGGACTGTATCTTTATGATCCAGGAGACGCCAGCCTGTCTAGGCAAGAATGCCAACTCTGCGGTCATGGGCCCTTAGTGAAAACCTAGAGCAGTTCTATTCGCTCGTTCTACTCGTCCACGTCCCTGTGGATGACCAACTTTCATGCCCGTCTTTAAGAATTCGAAAGTTCCATTTGATTCCGTAGAAACTTGACTAAAAGTCAGCACTTCGAGGACTATTCGCAGGTACGTGAACCGTGTTAACAATTCCACTGGTTAAGTCTACTCCAACGTTCTGAATCTTCGAGAATTCCGTCTCTGTGCCTTTCGCCAGATTATCTGCTACAGGTTATCCAGGTCCGACAGAGTGATCGCTGCATGATAGAGTCCAAAAGTTGTCGTCTGGCATTCGTAAAACACCTTGGATACTATAAAAGCTGTCTTTTCACGAATTGTTTTCGCCATCGTTACTTGCCAATACTAAGATCTCATATTCAATTCGGGGAACAACATTTACCCGTGTGGAAAGTCTAACAAATAAATTGTGTGAGGTAAGGACAAAACCTCGTTCTTTGTTACCTTGTTTAGTTCCCTATAACCAACGTATGGCAGAAGACTTCCGTCTTTTATCATTAGAGCAACCGCCGAGACTCATGATGACTTTGGAGACTTTGGGACTCCGTCTATGTGCACCTCATCCATCAGATTACCTGTTTTGGCAGAGTAGGTAGCGTAGATCTGGGTGGCTGCCAGATCAGTCTGGTCTCTCCAGCACTTGTAGTGCTTTACCGTACTTGTTCACCCCATTGTAAACCCTTGTCGTTATAATATAGTCGTGTGCCAAATCAGCCACTTCAAAGTTTTGTTCTTTCGTTGTTGATGACGTGACTAGGTAGTGAAAAAAGGATGTCTAGGACGTTGATAGCTACTATTACGATTTTGAATAAAACATTAGAGATATCGACGACACATGGCTTTAATAACCTGGTGGGTAGAGAAAATAATTTCTTCAAGATTCAGCTGTAATTGTTGAAACGCATAGTTGCAGTCAACTCCTGTCGTTTCTTCACTACCAACTTCACCAATACACGATGCCGGCCAGTGTCCACACCGCAGACTTTGTCGACCGCGGTGTTGAGGCGAACTCCCCGTCCGATCTTGACTATTGTTCATCCCTTGACTCTGAGCTTGTAGACTCCTTGAATGATTCCTGTCTGCTTCAGGTTTTAATCGCGATGTTTGAAGTCCCGACTGCTACCCGCTCTTTCTGCAAAATGATGAGTGGGGCTAATGTGGAGCAGTATTTCTCAAAGTTAGAACACAAATTTAAGGGGAGTGCACACATCAAGTAATCTGTTTCTTGTCAGCGGAAATACAACCAGAACCTAAATATCTTGTGCGTATTCGTCGCAAAGGAAGGAATAGTCGTCGTTGTCACCAGAGCATTTGTGTTACTAATATTTTCTTCTGCTTCCGACCTAGGAATTTTTGATTAAGGCGATTGTTTCATGTAAGACGTTACACATTGTTGTGTAGTACTTTAATAGTTCGTTTAATTCCCTAGGCCCTCCGCCATTGTACTCTTACTGGGCAGTCTCGCCTCTAAGCCATGCCATCAGACCCCAAGCACATCTGTAGGTCAATAGTACGTGTACTCCTAGAGTAGTATCCCTCCTTACGTCTTCAGGGAAGTCTAGGAATGCTCCATCTGATGTTGGAGAATGCAAACGGTCTAAGTGTTATGCGGAAATTGCATTTGCCTCCATTCTAGAGACCGATAGATCTCCACCTACCATACAAGCAAGTACGTGCAAGGGCATGGTTAATGGTAATGATACTTGATCAATGCGCAAGCTAAAGTAAAAAGTATGATGCCTTTCTTCCAAATTTAGTAGCTTTTATTAGATTAGTCTGAGCAACTAAAGTGGGAGGAGGTGGAACAATAAAAAGAGCAGTATTGCAAAAATTCGAAGAACATTTTTTTCCTGATTTAGCATAATATGAATCACACAAAGCGCTTATAGTGGAGCATTTCATGACCTAAACGGTTGATGAATCCAGGTTAATCAAGTAAAAGGGACAACCTACTAATTTCAAGTCAAGTGAGCTTTGATGCAAAAAAGATGACAACTGTACAGCACCGCTCATTCCAGCATAGAACAAAACTATAAAACAAATGTAATCCAGTCAGCCCATTAAAGGAATTTTTAAAACCTAGATGTAATATACCCTAGTAAATCATCCAACAGTTTTAAAACCAACAAAAATCTTGCATCGCTATAATATGGGCACTTTGCTTTTGCAGACAGGTTTACTTTTGGCTTTATTAATATTCGCGAGTTTAAAATGTGTTTGAGTTATTTGTGGTGACATGCGACTTTTCGAAAATCATCGGCTCGCCAACCAGCGTGTAAAGCTTGAGGCGACCATGCCAAAAAAGAAATATCTCGGACGGGCTCTAGTTCGTCAAAATAAACGCAAGGATAGGCGACCTTTTGTAAATGTCCAACAATGCTTCTTTGATTTTTCTTCTAGAACTATGCTAACCCTGAAGACTCCCCTGATTGGTGTCATCTTCCTGTGAAATCCATTACTCAAGAGACTACTTTGGATGATTTTTTGCATACGGCAGATTTGTCCAACAGAGACTTTGCAGCTCGTAATGCACATATGTTTCATATATTTGTGCAGAGAAAGTGAATGTTAGAGTTTTATCTAAGGCCGAGATCGTTGGCATAATAACTCCGGAGGAGAGGGCAAGGCGCAAAGTTTTAATGCAGCAAAATAAAAGCGCCCTAACCGTCCTCAAAAGGTTTGAACATTTGCTTTATCGATGGGCTATACATTTGAATGTAGACCAAAAATTAATCGGAACATGACAAAAGAAGAAATAGCTAATGCCGAACAGGGAGCTTACTTATCTTGGCGTCGGGATCTCGCAAGGTAGGTTTAGTGGCTAATTTTAATCAATCGGTGGGGCGTAACTTGTAGTGGGTTTTTCCTCTTAGGCTGGAACAGCTAGATGGGATTGTGATAACTCCTTACGAGCGCAACTTGGAATTTTGGCGGCAGCTGTGGCAAGTCGTGGAACGAAGCGACGTCCTGGTTCAGGTTGTCGACGCTCGGCAGCCTCTTCTTTTCTTCTCTACCAGTCTTAATGACTATATCAGAGAGGTCGACTCCCATAAGGGAACCGTAGTCCTCATAAATAAGTCTGACTTTTTAACACGTAATCAAAGGTGTGTCTGACGCCTTTGTGTAGTGTGTGTTACTATGTCCTTGTGATAAATGTATATATATTTCTAAATAGGGACGCTTGGGCGAAATACTTTGACTCTGTCGGCGTTCGTGTTCTGTTTTTCTCTGCACTCAATAGCCAAAGTCAACTTTCCGTTCAAAGTATCAGGGAAGGCCACGGCCCTTCCAGCATTCCGGAAGAAACCAAAGAAGAACTAGAAGCCGAAATATTGCAAGATTCTCTTAGTGTTGACGAAATGTGTAAAGATTTTGATGAATCGAGTTTGACTTCATCCGAAACCTCGACAATGCACGGTGAGAGTGAGGAGGAGGGCGGAGGGGAGGCTTCAAGTGAGTCGTACAGTAGGTGAGCCTTGATTTTAGTATTTGTATTTTCTGTTTACTAGTGAGAGAACAGTGCTACTCTTTAGATCAAGAATATCCTGCACCTATTTTACCATTTAAATTCAACCAATCTATTTGTAACACGATTTTGCCCAACCAATTACTGCAAAGTGCAAAATGTGGTGCTGGTTGTGGATGTGTTAGTTCAGATCATAGGCTTTATTTGGGGCGTTACTTCATTGTTCAGTGCGGCTGACGTCTTGAAAGAGAAAATTGAGGTGGTCAATGGTTGCGATGTCCTGTCAGTGCATGAGCTGATAGATGAATTGACTCACCTGGGGACGAGACATGGGGATTTCCCCTACCTCACGGTGGGATTCCTGGGCTATCCCAACGTGGGTAAGTCGAGTACACTCAATGCCCTGTGTGGCGCAAAGAAGACCCCGGTTTCGGCAACTCCTGGCAAAACGAAGCACTTTCAGGTGAGTTCTCAGGCCTTTACATACTTTTGCATCCTGTTCTGATTTCTCGCCTCGAGCCTTTTTTCGCACCCAGACTATATTCCTTCAACCAGATTTGCAACTCTGTGACTGCCCAGGTATGGTAATGCCCTCCTTCGTCTACACTCAAGAAGACCTAGTCGTTGCTGGCATCCTTCCTATTGATGAAATGCGAGATTGCATTCCCCCGATTCGTGTCGTAAGTCTCGTACCTATTCTTAATTATTTGAGGTTAGTTTTACATAAATTAAAATTGGAAACTATACTAATCGTGTTTTCAACTGTTTTTATAGTTTACTTGAAATAGCATGTTTTAAAAATGGAATTGACTATTTTGCAGTTGGGCTTACTGTTAATAACATTAGTTCTGTATTTCAAAGTAATGAAGTCAAGTAAATAACACTCAGCATTCCAGGCTTTATAGCTGTTACGAAGCCTGCTTATTCCTCATTTACCAATAACACTATGAGTCGAATCAAATCGGCCGACTTCAGTTATCGCGAACAAGTTTAATCATCACTAAAAGTGGGATGGAACCCGTGGGAGTTTTTCAGTCCCGAACTTTTGAGTCCTTCCACAGATATGCGAACAAATTCCACGAGAGGTGCTCACCGCCCTCTACGGTATCTCTATTCGTCCGCCGAAGGAGTTCGAGGATCCCAACCGACCACCGACGCCTCATGAGTTGCTTGCCGCCTACGCATGTATGTCATGCTCGTGCATTTTCTCTTACAAATATGCATCCTGTAGTGTTACAGTGCCTCGTTGTTTCATTTTCCATAATAAAAACCACTTTGTAATCTCTTCTCTCTTAGCTAAAGTGTCACTACCCGCAGTATTTATGCATTCGCCTACCAAAAGGGAAAACTGTAGAGCGAGTAGAAATGGACTACAACTCTATTAAATTGCTGCACTTCTTGAAATCCCTTCGACTTTTTTCCTTATTCCGTTTTGGGAATTCGGACTCCTGATCACTGCTTCTGTTAATGGAAGTGAAAATAACAACAACCTGCAAACCATGTCTTCCAGTCCCTTCATTTGTATCGTATTTGTAAGTGGGTTAAATTTAGCCAAAGCTGTGGTGATCTGATGCCTTGTTTGATTGCGTGTCTAACTACTCGGCCTTGGCATGTTGTACTCCTGCTCTGTAGTACGGCCTTCAGGTGATGCCATTAGCTTCTTAAACCTTCTGAGGATGACTTAAGGCACCACAAAAGGAGACTCTTGAAGCAGATATGCTTATTTTTATTTAAAATATTTAAATATGCTTTAACCCATTTCTTATGCGGTTGATGTTATTTGGTCCACAACTTTGGTCATGTGTTCACAGCAAACTACAAATATTTCACGATTTAAGATCCACCTAGTTCAATAATAATTCAGCTTCCTCAGCTTTAAATTTCTGCTCCTCATTGCCACTTCATTAATAATTCCGACGTCAAGGGAATCTTGGTCACACATGATTAGCAAAAGGGTTTAAATATGTATACCGCATGATCCCTAGTGTCATTAGGCTTACAGATTTTGAGGAATCCTTAAATCCCTCTTGGCTTTATCCTCGTTGATCCAAAGCTCACTTCATCTGAAACCAGCCTACATTGGACCTGTGATAATGGAGGAGGGCACCCTGCGGATAATCACGTACACTCACGTAGAATACATATTTATAAAAACAAATTTCTTGGAATTCCACTTTAATATTCACTAAGGCTGATGGTCATTGCATGTGAGTTCTCGCTGAAGGGTTGAAGGACTGCCCTTTATGAAAACGATTCAAGTAGTTAGTGAAAATATTTTCTTTCTAAGGGCTTACCTTCCGATACAAATTTAGCATACACGCATGACGGTTATCATAACTGTTTACCTTCGGTCTGGCTGATGTATATCAACATTTTCTCTGAATCCATGCTTAGGAACGCGGTATTACATCATGTGTTTCCTTTTAAGAAATCCGCAGCTCCAAAGCCGATGAGTACTAGACTTTTACTTTACGCAAATGATTGCGTTTATGATCACAATGCCCTTTCCCTGACCCCCACATTCCAACACAATAAAACACGTCATTTTGATTTGTCTCGAGTCTACAAGAAAGCAGCAGACACACTCAAAGGTGAGAACTCACACGTAGCTATGTCACGAAAACACAGGAAGAGGTTAAAGATCTTTGCAAACTACTATGGACAGTCACCTTTTGTGAATGACTACTATCATGCATTGTTCAGAAGTCAGCTAAATACACTTACACAAATATGCTCGAATTTTAGTATGGACTACGGTTGATAGTAATGGAAATTTAGCCTTCCTCGCCGTCAAAATGACACACCCGTTTATTCATTTTCCCCTAGAACCACAAAGACCAATCATAAGTTTATAATAAGGTTTCTGCCTTGCCTTTTAATCACACACGATGTTAAATAGTATTGTAAGTAACCACAGGCGAAGCGACTGGAGACTTGAAATTTTAAAAGGAATCGGCAAGATTCGGGTTAAAGCTAGAAACGAATGTTGCAAGTCGCACATTGTGCGTGCTTTGTAGAGTCGAGACAATATCGTGGAAGGTGTATCATTGTGAATCAGATCTTGCCAAGATCTTATGCGATGATGATCCCAAAGGAGTGGAACCACACAAGTGGTCAATCGATTTTCAGTCACGCGAGCGCAGTCAAGGCCTCCGGTGCGTGATTGGTTGGGGAGGTGACATGATCAGCTGTTTCTGCGCGACACTTCGAGCGCACACGCGAGGTGCGTGCATGTCGGTGGGTGAACGTCAGCACAAATATTTTCGCGTCCACATAGTAGCACACGTACGGCACCCAGCGCACCCCACTCCCCTCCTCTCCCACCATTGCGCCTTTCACCCGGTGTCTGACCTACCAAAGCTGGCAGCACAGATGCTGGGGATTCGTGGGTGATGGGCCTCTGGCCCACCAATTGGTTACTGTAGAGCCCAAGCAAGTGTGCCTACGTAGGCAACTTCGTTCGCGATAAACACGGACATCGCCCTATCAGGCTGCTGTTGACTAGCCCTCTGGTAATGTTCCATATTTCCCCACTTTTCTCAAGCATTCCATTTGCATGCCGGTAAACAGTGCCTTGCTTACACTACTCCGGCGCATGCCTGCATCACGATGATTTTAAGAACTCGTGGAGAGCCCCAGTGGAGCATTAGGAATTCCTTTATCATGCTTTGCTAGAAAAGACTTTTTCCTAATACCGGATAGAGCGAACTTTACCTCACCAAAATGAGCCGATATTTCTGAAATGTAGGGAAATATGAGGCCTTAACTTGGTTGCTTCTGTTTAGATAATGGTCACACAATATGGTGGCATATGTGATGCGGAAGCTTACGCCTTTCCTCAGAACACTCACTTGTCAACCGGTAAAAAAAATTAACAAAAAGTAGAGCAAAAGGCTATTGCATAGAATAACAAGTGAAAACCAGAAATAAACATAGTTTACTCTACATAATATAAACTAGACTTAGTGGAAAGGATCGAACTAATTTGGTTTTAATTAAGGTCCTATTAAAGTACCCTAACTGCATTTCATAAATAGAGGCGGGCTTCTTCAAAGTTTCGAGCAAACTTTTAATAAACTAGTCTGCCAGTGGTTTCAGTCATTAAAAAAAGGAAACGCACAACCTAACGGATCTCTATTTAAGAAAGCCTTTTTCTTTAGTCTTCCAACAACAGAGCCACGTCACTAAAAACTTTTAATTATTAAAAGCAGATTATGATTACTTTTGTGGCGTACTTTCTCTCCGATGTAAGGCACTATCGACGATCTCAAAGGATCAATACGGAGAGCAAATTGAAAAAAACACATTAACTGATGTTGTCTTCATGTGACACGTTATTTTAACCGCCATACTAATACATTTCACTTTACCTATGTGTGTGTGTCACGTATGTGCGACTTAAGGGCTTGGGTGAGGTAGCTGTGCTATCACATACGTGCAGTAAGCATGCTAAGTGGCCATCGCAATTATTTAAAGGCTGAATTTTGGACTAACTAGCTTAGGAGATGTGATGCATTTGCCGTTCTCACTACACGCCTACATGGCACCGTCCTAACTGCATGGCTATTGAAAGCCCGAAGGTATGCGGATAGCAGCCCTTAAGTAGCAGCATTAACTAACCACAGAGCCAAAATTTACGTCAGTCTATCAGATAAGCACTTAATGGCTGCTGACGAGTCTCGATTTGTTTTAATTTATTGCCTTTCGAGTTTTTGAAAATATCGATTCAACATGGCATGTAAAGTTCAAATATGAATTGTCACTCGTGCACACTGAAGATTTTACATTGTCTTCTATCATTTTTTTCTTCAGACCACCGAGAACGATGTCGAAGAAAAGTAAGTATTTTATAATAAAAAACTGCAAGCCCTGGCTTAACTAACATGTTAGTTACCTGTAGCAAAGGCGAAGGTTTTCGAGGCATTGCAAATTAACAAGCTGTTGGATTGGTTCATGAAAACGAAGTTCTCTGCGGAATGTAGACCATCCTCCATTTGTAATAAATGAAAGTAGGAACAGTTGTTATTTTTTTGCGCGAGCGCAGACCCTATTACTAAAAATCTGCATTTGCAGAAGCAATTCGTGTTCATTAACGCCTGCCACGTACACACAAGGCAATTAGTTGAATTTTATTAACTAGGCTCTTGTAAAAATGGGTCATAAGGCAACATGGAATGGAAAGATGTAATTTTAAACTACCCCTTCCCAAACGTCTGTTTTAGCCCTCCCAAGCACGGCGAATAACCCTTTCAAGCAGGCCGACAAAGCCGCTAATCCTGCGGGCGCTAAACCGAAGTGAGTGAATTTCAGTCGCTCGGTTTTTACGATGATGTCCCACATTGCATTAGAAGCTGTGGACTCGAAAATACGAATGAACAATCAAGAAAGTAACACAGAGTACAAATTCCTAAAATCCAAACTAACCAGCCGGTAATTATTCCCGCCGATGAATATAAAAAAAAAATTTGCGGAATGTGAGAAGCATGCAATTGTTACACTTTTCTAGGCAAGCGTGTTCAATTAGGAAAACCCAAAGAAATCGTAATACTATCACCAAGACGCTATCCCTTGGCGTCTCTAAGGGAGTCACTATCAGAATAATTTCTCCTATAAGTTATCTACCATTTACAAGCGTATCTTAGAGATATAAATGTAATGAGAGCAAGAGTTAAAATGAAGGAGAATTAGCCTTTTATGGCATTGGTAGGAGTCGTTGATATATCATTGTGTTTCTTCTGAAAAGTGACAGATCACTTTAGCTTTAAGCTAGAAGTTGCAAATTTTTAAGTTTCGGTGACCAGTGCCGGTGGTCTCCGAGGCTTAAACTGAAATGGCCACCGAGCTCACTTTATCACCCATATCACCATGGCACTCGAATGATTACCGTGAAGCACAATTTACTTACTAATTGACTGGGGAATTATTTACATGAGATTGACGCCAGCTTCATGCATTAACAGAGCATTCTACTAGCACATGAATTGAATCTGGTTGGGGACGTAGGCGAACCACAACACTTCACATATTACATTCCCTCCAATACATACCCATGGACTTATGTTTCCAAAGAGGAATGTTATGGAAACAATCCGCACCTTTCTTCCTTTCTGACATCACCATTAATTCGTTCTTGCCGTGAGAAAGTCTTTGCCGCTGAATGGGTTATTGCAGCTGGTGTTCCTTTGTGCATACATACCTCAAGGTTCCACTCCCAGCTCCTTGGTTGTAGTTCCTGAAGTTGGTTCAATTATGGAGTACAAAGTCTTACTCCAAGAAAATCTGATTTCACTGCAGTAAAATGATTATTGAGCCTTCATATTGCCAGTTATGTTCTGTGATGCAAGGCTAGACAAAGTCAGACAATTGAACTAAGCTGCTAAATGCAGCGCTCAGTGATTTACTGGCGTGAAGGAGGAAAATGCCAAACGATGTCACAAGTGTACAATGTAGGAGGGACAGCTGTGGGCCAAGTTACACTTGAATTAGAGCCTTGCATGCCAAGGGTTTGATTAGATTCGTTCCTTCTCTCGATCATGCTTTAAAACTTTATTAATGAGATCCAGTGATTGGAAGATGACAGGAAGCAATTACGCTAAACATATGAGTCTATGTCACGCTACAAATTCCAAAATGGATACATCCGATCTGCGCAATGCTGCTAACCAACCAGGATATTCCAGTAGAAATGGAGAATGCCTGATCGCTCACATGAGTGACCAGTGAGAAGTCGGCTTGGTGAATGGCGTAACACACACAGTTTGATTGGTCTAGTCGTGGAAGTACAAGTCATGAGGTGAATTTGGAGGCAGAGGTCTTGTTGATACGTGTGAATAGGCCAAAAGAGGAAAATGCTTCGTCGCAGTGTTTCGTCTTCGGCAAATTCGTACACACCTTCCTATCGACCGGCAGCAAGGAGTCATACGTAAGTGAAGCGGAGCATCCATTCCAATGAACCATTAGCAATAAATTACTTAAAAGGTGTTTTGTATAAGAAGTACTGATGGCGACCATGCCTGTTGCTTGGATGGGTAGCCTTCTTATTTTTATTGCAGAAGTAAGGCCTATTTATTTATGAATTGTAGGTGTAGTGGCCACTATTATATGATTATTTATTTTCCTAAAACCACTTTCAAGCATAATAAAATGACAAACTTAGAGTAGCTCAAGAAGCATTGTCTAACGCATTCGGTAGGTTTTATGTACATGTGGCGTGACCAGATTTACTACGCATTCAGTTCTGACTGATCTGTCATACGGAGTTTCATCCTTCGCTTTAGCCATCCACAGTCGACAAGTGATAGCTAAAACGCATTTGTGATGCCAACGATGAAGTGTAAAAACTTGAAAGTGAGGAGAATGACTTAAACGAAGAATATTTGTTTAAATGTATACTGCTAAGTATACATCCATTCCATTAAGTAGAGAAATGGATGAGCATGAAATTCACAACAATATCGTGGCATCATGATCCCCTACCAAGATTATAATCTCTGCAAATCCAAACTAATTTGAAGCAGTACAGTCTTAAATTTACAGGCTCTATGGCTGCCTGGATGTGAGGAAATCTCCCAAATCCTAGCAGTTTAAAAAAATACTTTGTTAATCAATTTGACTATAATCCCACCTGCCTCTGTGAAACAAGTTGATATCAAAAAACTCCATCCTTTTCTAAGAAAAGCGACTTCTCATCAAAGTAGACCTAAACCTTCTACACATAGGCATGGGGCTCGGAAACACTTTAAAAATGTCTTAGTAACGGATAAATACTTCAAATGCCGGAGTCCGAGGTACATGCTTATACGACAGTAGAAGAGTGATACTTCTGTATTCATCTGTTTAAAAGGGAGGTGGGCTCAATGAAAAGGATATCTGAATACGCAATCTCCTCGAAGGAACCTCACAGAGGATTGAGGGCAAATGAGTTAGAAGATGGTTTGAAATTAAAGTAGGATAATGAACTCTGACACGGTTCTTTTTTGCTGTAGCTTTTTGGCGTCCAAACGGTCGGGTGCGGCCTCGGCCAAGGAGATTATGCTGCACTGGTGCCAGGTCATGACCAAGGGATACCCGGTGAGTGTCCTACAACCCATCCCTACATCCTCCCCTTCAACTTCTTTGTGTGCTAATTACGATCTCAGGCCGTAGAACTTAAGCTAATATGATTAGATAATTCAACGAAACCAGAAGTCCAAACTACTCCCCTCTGTACTTCTATGCACAAAATTTCAAATCCTCGGAACATTTTCAGAAGTTGAATGGACCTGCCACCACGACTTATGGCCAAGTTTTTATTTTGTACTACATTCACTTAATTTAGGAATGTGGAACCAAGGTAGTTTTAGACATAAATTAAGAAGGAAAATGTGGCATGAATTTGACATTTTATTTACTGACACTTTGATCGAGTTTTTATGAACGATGTGAATACAAGTGGATGCACTGCCGTGAGAGTGAAAATTTCTTAACTAGTAAACACGCAATCAAGCACGATTTCTAATACAAGTCAAGTAGAGGCGTTCCTCCACCGTCCTTCTGTTTAAGTGCGTATTTTCAAATTTACGTCACTCAAAAAGGCAGCTGCAGATTGTGAACATGGTGCTTCTTTCCAAAGCCCTAAATTACAAAAATAATATTTTTCCTACCCAAAAACATCTATGTTACACGAGCAGTATGTTGGATGAACTTTATATGATACAAAAGTGGTGACTGAAATGTGATAGAAATAAGGGAGGCCTTGAAGAGAAAATTTTCCGCATTGCTGGTTTTTTAATTACGCCTTCCTTAAGGCCACGACATTTTGCGTCGTACAGAAAACCTCGCCCGTATATTGCAGGCATGTTCGCAGGTCTGGATGCATAATAGAATAAGTTTTAACGCGCTGAAGTGTACTTTATTTGAGTGCATACGATTTTGTTTATATTTGCGATAAGGCTAGGTTAAAATTGGACATTAGGGTGGTTCACTCGTCCCTTATGGGATCAGAATTAGGACAGATATTAGTAGAAATTTTAGCATATTCAGCTATACTTAATTATAAAATCAAAAACATTTAAATAAGTTGCTTTGTTCAAATTCGGTATTTTTAAGTAAGCTATCTTTGAGACTGCTTGTTGTTGAATGGCAAAGTGACAAGGCATGTTTTATTTGACTTTCTGATGCAGCACGTGGAGGTGAAAAACTTTGGCAGTAGCTGGGCAGACGGAATGGCTTTCTGCGCACTCATTCATCACTTCTACCCTGACGCTTTTGACTTCTCCACTCTGAAACCGGAGAACCGGAGGGCCAACTTTGAACTTGCATTTAAAACTGCCGAGTAGGTCTACATCTCTTGCATTTAACTCATCATTGTTACCAAAATGCACACCTGCTTATCTTCTTAGAATCGAGCGTCAAAACATGATCTTTGGGGATCAATTTTACGCGAATTCCTAAAACTTGAGTCAAATGTAATAATTCCTTGAAATAATAACACAGTGAAGATCCATACCACCAAAAAGCACCACAATGAGCGTCGATGAGGTAAGGTGGTCGAAATTCATTGGAAAAATGCCACTTAAGATTTCGATTTCATTACCTTGATTTACAGAATTTTCATTTATTTTGACAAAATGCTATGGTTTGTACACTAAAAAGCCTAGTTAAAAACTTGCGTAGATATGGAAGATCAGCGTTGTGAAAGAACTTGACCTCAATTTTATGGATGGATGATGAGTCAGTGCTTCAAACTTGACCTTTGCGTTTGCAAAAGACCCCACCCATAACTCCATAACTGAAGTTGATGACACTTAAAATTAATTGTTAAATGCGGAAAATATAGATAAATATTACAGTTTTTAAAACTCAGACAAATGAATTTTTCATTTAAATTTATATTTATTGAAATATTTATGATGCTATCACTACTGAAACAACCGGATATTTATGAGATAGAGCTGAATTGTTTACTTATCATTCATCAAGGGCTTTTTAGCCCTCATCATTCTCGTAGAACATCTTTCCATGGGCAGAATTTGTCTAGCTTATTGTAAAAGTCGTTTAGCGTTGACGAAAAGCTTATGCCAACGATGGAGTTGGCACTAAACTGTTCCACAACCTGCTCCAAAACTAACATCCATCGTAGAATACTACCTTTAACTGTTGTAAAGCGCTTAGGGAAGAAAAGATGCTTTGTTTTTTGAAGATTTTGAGGAAAATATTCTTTCAATAAGCAGTTTAGGATAGTTTTGCTTGAAATAGTTTGCTACAGAAAGATTGTCCGTGCCTCCTCAACAAGGTAAATACTACAACCATTCGTAGGTACTCTAACGAATTTCTAGTACATGGTGTGGATGTGCTGACGTAAGGTGGATACAAGTCGGTTTCTCTAATTGCGGTACAAAGTGCAACATTTCGCTTATCAGTAATCATGGTTTATTCTGAAGATAGAAAATAATCCTATTAACATACGAAAAATCAGATGAATGACACTTTCATCATTGAGCTTGGAAACAGGAATTGCAAAGCATTTACAAAGGCAAATGTGACGACCCACCTACTTTACCAGTGACTGCTTTATTATTAAAAGGGGCAAATACAAAGAGTAAAAAGAGGGATCCATTTCTCATGAATTTTTTTAAGCATTTAACAGAATACACAGGTCGAAATTTACACCAGATGTGCACTTTGAAATATGTTGTTTTTTGCGGTTTTTCAACGAAGGATTTCACCAAGTTCATTCACCCTCCTCTACCAATTACGGGGAATTTAGAGTTACTTCGGAAGATAAAATGCCTCATTGCAAAAAACTGCAAGCGTTGATAAAACCGCTTTATTGTGCATTCACAGTAGAAGATATGCTGCATTAGAGAATTCGAGGTATTTCTTTAAGCATGGATACTAAAGAGTTGATAACCAGCCATAACGACCACTAATAGGTAAACTGTGAATATGGACATCGGGGCTTGAACTGCCACGGTAAATTAAAATGAACTTAATTGTGACGCTACTTTGTTGACCATTCAGGGAGCTGGGCAACGTGGCGCCACTTTTAGAAATGGAGGATTTGCTGAGAACTAAGGTACCTGATTGGAAGTGTATCTTCACGCAAATCCAGCTTTACTACCGTCGATTCCAACTGGAACAGGGCGCCAACGCCAATAAGCCTCCAGTGGGACTCCATCCTTCCGCTCCCCCGCCCAACCCTGAGGGCAGCTCCGCTTGATCGCCTCCGTTGCCTCCCCCCTCTCGCTGCTTGCCTACCGTCAACAGCCCCACTGCTCGCTGCTTTTACCTGTCCCTCCCCCTTTTGATCCCAACCCATCTTCACTAAAGGTCCTTCACTTCCATGAAAGAATGTCAGAATTTGCCTTCACTACAAGCTTCCTTTTTCGGGAAAGCGGAGGAAAAAAACAACGTCTCTACAGCGATACAGGTAAGGTGGTGAAGGGGCGGAGATCATGAACAGTCAGCTTTTCTCCAAAAGAACGTTGGTCTCTTATTCACTTCAAAGAAGGTCTGAATGAACTAAATGGGATGAGTGAATGAAAGTGAGACCTGTCAATGGGAATAAGGAAGTATTTCGGATATCCTGCACGCATACAAACCACATCTACATGGCTAGTCCTCAAAAGACAACCTAATCATTAATAAATTTTTTTCAAAGCAAGATAAAGGTATCAAAATACTTGTGCTGAAGACGAAGTACTGTAAATACTATAACTACCAAATCGCTTATGACTCCTAAATAAGTTTGCATTAATTTTTGCAAACGGAGTGCCATGTGAAGGAGTATTAAGCGTATCTGGAGTAAAGATGCTTTACCTCATGGATTGTGCTGCTTCAACTTACAACTGGTCGAGGACATTGGCTTCTGCATGGACTTTTAAGTGCAAAGAAAGGAAATTTTACGATATAAAAGCTTTAAAAAGGTGAGCATAATCCCGTGAACCATTTCAGTAGGAAATAAAAAATGCATAAATTAGAAAAAACCGCATAATTGACGAGATGGTTAGCTTTTGAAAACTGATTGCTTCTTGCCTCTTACGATCACAGCAGGTGCAGAACCAACCAGACAGCACAATAAAAAGCGGGTTCCATATCGTTATATATACCTCAAGCATCTAATTCTTTACAAGTCCAGAACTTCAAATACACTTTTCGATAAAAGCAAAAATTTTCACAGAGCTTAAGAATTCTGTTCGGGCAAATCGTGCAGAATAGAAAGCTGCATACAAATTAAAAAGTTGAAAATGTGTTCAATCTGATGTTGTTATGCTTCAAAAGATTCCTAAATTCCTGACTCCGCAGCAAAGTCATTTCGTGACTCCTGTCAGTTGAGCGCGAAAATTCATCTGGGCCAATGCGAGCACTGCAGCCTTGAGTCGCCCAATCCGAGCCCGAGAGGGGATACCCAGGATGGGTCATCAACTCGACAGTTGCAGGACGGTCAATAACGGAAAAGCAGGCTTGGAGATTATCAATAGTCATATTTTGACCCATAGTTAGCATCCCTATAAACGCATCAGTGGATCTAAAATTGAAGAATAGGGTAAAATATTACCTTTACGATTCAACTGCATTGAGTATGCGCAATGTGCACTAGAGGATTACATTCTAGATAAATGTCACCGACGCAAGCACATTAATCTGCTAACTTAATGACAGGGTAATGAGGACAATACCAGATAAGTTAAGTTAATCTGGCCATTCTCAGAATGTCGCATGGCTTGGTAAGTGAGCGCAGATGACGATCTGAAATGTTTAAAATACTTTTCATTTCACTCCTACTCGAGGATCATCTCCACATCTTAGTTCTCAGCTGAGCTAACAGATGTGACAGGTAGATAAATCACTGATATAACCAACGTGCCAGAAGTTCAAGTCGGTAAAAAGGTCACTAAATATGTAAATTCTGACAGTTATATTTCATTTACGATTACTCATTGGAAAGAAAATTCTACCCAACATTGAAAAACTAAACCTTGCCACGAATCAGATCATACAAATGCAACTCCTTCTTCGCCATAACCAAAAATAATGCTTGTAAATTTAGGTAGGGCAACTAATAGGATTGTCTTGAGCACTGAACTAAAAAGAATGTTCAATTGAATTAGTAAAGACAATAACGGAAATTTTGAAACGAAAATAACGGGAAAACTTGACAGATTTAGCAAAGTAACTGACGAGATCTTTAATGCAAAAGACTTTTGACTATACACACGTGCAAAGTAGTGAGGCACCCCATTTTTAAGAGCTTTTATTACCAAACTTACGATGTAATAAATTCAGCACCTATTTTTTAAGTAATATTGCATTTAAGGTCAACATGAATGGAAGTTGTGAAACGACCCGGAACGGAAAAGTAAAACCCATAAGCTGTAAAAATGAGGGCATTTGGGGGAAATGGGCGTACAAGATGCAAACCTTGGAGTAAGAGAAGAAACGATTCCCCTAAAATAAATAAGCAAAGGCAAAGTGACCTCACTTCGAGGAAATATTACCCTCGGTCGCATTGACGATCAAGGTAAGGAGAAGGACATTGAATTGTAATAGGGGAATGACGAAGAAACTGACTTTAAACAAATGACTGGTTCCTAAGATAAATCATTTTTCTGCCTTGATAAAAGTGCATCGGAAGTGGTGTACGAAGCGCGTCTAGAAACAGAGAAAGCAAATGACTCCAGCCACACGTAAGCCGAACGAGGTACATGCAAAATGTGGGGAGTGCATTCAAGTTGTAGCAGTGGGAAAAGCGAACTACTAGGCTCAGTAATCTGAAAGTAGATAGGAGTCAGAAGAACATTAATGCCATTTGAAACACAAATATGGGACATTACGTGAGGACTGTGTGCTTCCTGAAAATTTACTTAACATTGTTGATCTATTCCTTGTACTTCCATGCCAAAAATGTCGCCCGTAGTAAAAAAGTGTGCTCCTATTCTATGGTGTTGAAATCTTGTTTAGTGAGATTGATTAATAGACTGAAATAATCCTGCAAACCGGAATAGCAAAGATTGTCAGAAAGGAGTTTTCGGCATAAAACAATTTTATGGGCAGTAAAAGCACCTGTAAATTGCATGAGCCCACGAAATATTCATGTGGCTTGTAAGGGTTGCTTACAAAGTAGAAGCAATTAACGCTAAGTCAGACATCGTTAATCATGATGACAGTGGTTCTGCGAGAATGAAACAAGGCGTGGTGATGCAGTTTCTCCCCAACAAAGGTGTAAAATTCGAACCCACTGATGCCTATTCCCATAAAATATATCAAACCCATTACGATTGGCAAAAACGCTTCAAAGGCGGTCGTGCACCTATCAGCCAGTTATGATCCGGCCGTTATGGTTCCCAGACCACTCATCAATCACTTCTGTGGACACTTAGCATGCGGAACATCTAATGGACGCACAAGGTGAATTTTAACAGGAGACAAACGATGTTATGGAAACGGTAGACAGTACGAATCAGAAATATTTGAATTTCCGGGAAGTCAGCAGACGCTGAGTACCAAGACATTGTTTCCTAAACTGACTCAGGATGGTTCATACCTCACCAACAAGTCATTCGAAGCTAAATTTTTCTAGGTATAAGTTGAACACCAAAACGTGTGTAGATGTAGCAAGGGACTGTATGAAAAAAGCTTATCCCATGAAGCCCGACCATGATAGAGGAGATCGGGATTGCCAACGCAAACGGTGCTCTCTTATCTGACGGGCTCTAAGGTGATACGATCATGGTAACATAAAATTAATGACGTCGATTTCGATGAGAAAACTCAAGCGAACCTTCAGTGATGGCAGCGGTAACCACTTGAGATGGCTAAAAAAAGCCCACTAAAATCCAGACCGATGAGCTATCCGTCTGAAAGTCGCCATTCTAAATGAGATAAACCAGTACTCCAATGGCAAGCACACTGATTGATAGCACTCCAAAATTCGTAGTTAATCCAATGTCGGGTGTCACGTTTGAAATCTGACTCAAAAAACCCGATGACATCCTCCGAGATAACATGCCCAAAAAAGACATGGAGTGTTTTAATTTTTGTGCAAGCTTGATGTAGTGGAGCACAAAGGATATACCAAATGTGTTCTCGCCGAAAAACCAGGAGATAGAACATCTCAAGGACAAGAGCTTGGTGATTAAGTCCCAAGGTTTAGCACATGGTGCCACTGCTAGAGCCTGACCAAAATTCTCAAGATGACTGGATGACGTAGGCTAGCAAGATTAACAAGGAATATAACGCTTCAAACGCTGAAATACAACAGAGAGCCGATTCGAGTGCCTGATTTTTGCGCATGGCTTTAGAACCCTCGAGATACTGGGATCATGACTCGGATTTTGAACAGGATTAAACTGGGCTCAGAAACCACAAATATAAACCGCAAAAGCAGAATGCTAGGACTTGGAAAATTTGAGGCATGAGACAGTCTTAATCTAACGACTGATGGTATATCTCCGAAGGCCCCACGGAATCCGGCTGCAGAAACCACTCTCAACACACTGGCAGTGCGTCGGTTGAAACTTCGTAGGATTTTGTCCCTTCAAAAGACATTGTTGTGTAAGATGCTCTCATTTCGGTAACAAAAAATGGTACTCTAGTAAAAGCAGCAAAACGTAGATGACTGAAAGGAGCGAAAAATCCACATACAGAAAGTATGCGTCGGTGGGCACTATCAAGAAGTCAGTTCGCCTTCAGTTAGGCTAGCGCTGAGTGAAAGGAAGCAGGCAAACTGTAGCACTTTCGGTGGATTACCGAGAATCGTCGATGAATTCGACCATACCGTTGATCTGGATTGTGTTGGTCACCAAAACCTGTCACATGCCAAAGCGCCAAGACTTGAATTTGCTGGAATTGTCTTTAACAGCCCACTTAGTCTACTTCGTTGTAGAATGTGAGTGCGAACCCCACAGTGACATACTCAGGAAGCAGCAAGCAATCTACGACCAGGTAACTTTTGAGCGTCGATCATCCCCCTACCATCCTTAGTCAAACGATCGGGCTGAAAGATTTGTCGACGCTTCCGAGCAAGTCTTAACGAAAAAAAACAGGAGTAGGGGAGGTAAACCCAAGAGGTCATTGATATATTTCTAATGAACTAGCGGACGACACCTGCTTGACAAATATAGAAGGAAAGTCTCCTGTTGATGAAATATTTAATCGCAAAGTTAACAATATCGGAACTCACTCCTGTCTTAGAGGACTGGTGATGAGAGCCGCAACAAC